AAGAAGAAGAAAGGAACAAGTCTTCTCATCTCTTTCATTTTGCAGACAACTTAGATGGTACTACATTATGAAGGCAACTTGGAGGGTTCCCACATCTCCACTATATTTAAGAAAATGGCCAAAATTGGTGGGAATTTTTGGATGGACACATATTTAATGGTAGGAATTGATAAATTTGAATAAGAGTAGCAAGTACCTGAAAAATGGGTTTCTTGGCTCCTTAACATCTAACTTTGTTCATAAGACATCTGGAACTGAGTTTATAGAACCTAATGTCACCTACTATAATTTCAGCAGGCCCTCACCACCAACTGATTGGAGGAAATGGTGAGTGGTTATCAGAACTTCAGTATGCTAAACTCAAAACATAGTTGTTAAAGAAAGTAAATCGTGCCAGGAAAAATATTAGCAGTAATATTAAATAAACATAATGGATAATATAATTCAAATGTGGAAAGCAACATAAATATAATGATAACTATAATGACACATTGTTGTAGTAAAGAAATGTGATAGTAGGAATACCTAGTTTTCTTTATTATCTATGTCAGGGGATAAGAGAAGGATAATTCAGTAAGTTAACTTCTGTTACTACTAAAATCAGGTGAGAGAAACTATAAATATTCAGTCAGATGTCTGTTTTCACATCCCACAATAGGACTGTGAACATAATTTGTGAGACCCTGTTCAAAATGAATATGTAAGACTCTTTGTTCAAAATGTCTAAGAATTCAAGATAGTGACAATAGAGCATTAAACCAAACATATGGTCACCCCTTTCTTTTTAATCTTCCTCAGTATTGGAGTTTGAACCCAGGGGTGCTCTACCACTGAGCTACATCCCCTGCCCTTTTGATTTTTTATTTTGAGACAAGATCTTGCTAAATTGATCAGGCTGGCAATTCAGCCAGCCTCCTTAGTCACTGGAGGCTGTGTGTACCAGTCACCAGTGTGTACCACCCTGCCTTGCTAAAGGATTTTAAAGTTGAAACTTTCAGTACTCCTATCCTCCATGTAGCCATAATATGTCAACTCAAAATTTCTAACTCTGACTCATGTACCACCTTGTACTAAGATTATAAAACTCTTTAAGAGAAATCTTCAAAACAGCAGCAGTAGACATTTTAATTAGTGTAGATTAATATAAAACCAATTTAGGAAAACCTACTGATCTCTTCATAATTTGACTTCCTTTGAAGTTGTAAATTATTAATAATGTCAGTCAAATGTCACAGGAAGATTTTACCTCATTTAAAGGAGCACAAGTTTTGAAAGGAAGTAAGTAATTATTTACTTCATTGAAATCCACTGACTTTAAAAGTATGAGCTCTCACGTATAGTAAGCTACTCGATATGTATGAAAGGAAGAAAATAAAAATATGTTAGTCTTCTCTTGTTTTTATAAAGTAACAGTGGATATAGAAATGTTTACCTATGAAGGAGTGAAAGAGGGGATGAAGGGGACCAGAGGGGAGTCAGACTCTGCAGTAGGTGACCTTTTCATGTTGTTTTGCTGTTTTTCAACCATGCAAATATTCTATCTATTCAAAAAATGGAAAACAAAATAAAGAAAATATGGGTTCTCAAAAATTTCACAATGGAACGAGAGGAAAAAAAAAGCAGGAGGGGCTGGGGTTGTGGCTCAGCAGTAGAGTGCTTGCCCACCACGTGCAAGACACTGGGTTCAATCCCCAGCACCACATAAAAATAAATAAATAAAATAAAGGTATTGTGTCCAACTACAACTAAAAAATATTTTTAAAAAGCACGATTCTAGAGAAATATTTGTCCCAAAGCAAGCTATGTTGGCAGAAGTACTTTTAAAAACATGATTTTTTTTTTCCAATTTCTAGCCCTGGCATTGCACTGAATAGCTCTGTAACTTTGAAAAAGGTACTGAAACACAAGCCTCAACTGTCTCAGTTTTGAAATGAGGATAGAAATCCCCTATCTTGCAAGGTTATTTTAAAGATTAAATGAAATAACACACACATACTCTCTTACAGGGTTTCATGCTTGGTAGCTAATATTGTTTTTAATAACACACTGCCTGGATTCTGGAGTCCTCCACACTGACATGGATTAATTCAGCAAATATTTTTTTGAGAACCTATATTTTTTTTGAGCCAGATAGTGTTCTAAGATTCAGAT